TACAAAATATTTCAAATAATTCCCAATTCAGCTAAATGAAAATTGATTGATCAGGGAGACCAAGCCAGTGTTAATGCGGTGTCGACAAATAGAAAGCAATGACCTATTGGGAGGGTCACGTAAATACGTTTGCTCCACCAATAAAATATCACCTTAATGAAGGACACTGCTGAGCCAAACAACATTTGGGCCTCAGTGATAAATCAATAGTGAGGAGGGAGATGAAATAAGACTCTACCTCCTGTCAGAATGCTAAACTGTGCTATTCTGTCTCGCTGGGAGAGGCAGGGTTTCACTAAAAGTCCAAATCTACTGCTCCACTTCCACCCTCGTCCACGTGGTACACAATCAAATGAGGCCCCAACCAAAAACTAAAAATAGATTCTACTGAATTTGTTTTTTCTGTTTAGCAGAGACGTGATCACAGATAATTAAAAGTGTGAAGTGATAGAACAGAGATGGCAAAGATACTAGGTTCAAGTCACGACCAGGAAATATTTTGGAGGTAGAACAATTCATTTGATTCACTGATGCATGAGGTGAACTGTTTCAATAACACACTAAAACTGTGAATTTGATGTTCTGTTTGTGACACTGCTGTTATTGTCAGACATTTGCAGATTTTTCCCATATGAACTTTAATGAATAAACTCTTTATACTCATCCTGACTGATTTGAATAGTGCTTTTTAAACTCTTGAGAAAAAAACCTCATGGCTGACTTCACTATTCAGTTGTATTGAAGCGACAAGTCATGATTCACACACACCTATTCACAGCTTTCACTGAACATCAGACACAGGAAAATAAATGCTACTGCGTTGAACCCGGACCAGGCTAAGCTATAAGATGAAATCTGGGTCATACATATCACCTCGTTAAAATGAGAACAGGCAATCCAGCTGACATTCAGACAGTGCCTGAAGCCATTTGGAGCTTTACAGTGAACTGATGCAGAAGAGTGGATTCTGAAGAGGAGAAGTCACTCTAGTTAGTCTGCATACATAGGACACTTGGAATCAGCTCACTAAACATTAAGCCATAACAAGGCCAGGCATGTTTCTGACCAAGCTGAGACAAACAACATAAACAGCACCTTTTGGTTCTAAGCGACATCCTGCTCACCATAACTATTAATGATTTACCTGCCCTTCTTATGTATGTTAGGATTACAAGGTTCTAACATCTAGCTGGTTTCCAAGAGGAAATTTTGTAATATTAAACATTATCTACTACTAGAGCAGTGTCCTGTGTGAATGCTCCACAGCTACTTCAGAATTATTCCTTGTCATTAGTGAGTCCTCCTCAAACAGGTCTACAACAAAGTGTCACTCTTTATTGTGTGTGCTGGACATGTGTGCAGGGCTTTTTCAAAACAGTCTATTGTGCGGAGTGAAGTTCGAAAATGTTGTGTTCATCCTATCTGGTTTATCTGCAATGAAGATTTTATAATCAATGTTTTTCATAAAATTAAGCTGATTTGCTTAATTACTGTTTACGTGTTGGGTTATATAAACGTTTTAAGGTTTTTCATACATTGCATGTAGACTATTTCACCTTATTATCACAATGATCTGTCTGCGATTTAGACCAAAAGTCAGACCCACTTGCTGACGAATTTATCTGAGGACTTAAAGACAGGACATGGTCTGCAGACTGAGAGCACACTGCCCTGCCCCCACTGTCTGCTATATAAGTTAATAGGTAGATTTACTTTTACGGGCTAAAGCTATAGTGAGTTAAAGTGCCTTTATGTTTTTAGTTAGAATGGGCTGTGTTTGACACAAATAAAGTGAATCATGATCACATAGAAAATTGTCTTTTGGTTTAAATTTGTGAAATTAAAAAAACAGGAGCCCAAAGCACCACACCTCCTCAAATCCTATCTAATCCCTTCAAAATAAAATACCTGTTTGTTGTGTCAAAGGGTCAATGCTGATTATTTGACCCGAGTCTAAGACCTGTGAGATTTATGCTGCAGGCTAACATATGAGTGTATGCAGCAGTAGGAAAGTCATTAATTTAAAACTGCTGTGTATTGAAAATAAAACCAGAAATGCTGCATCTGGTCAGTTAACTGAGAAAGACAAGCTGACATTAGCTGATTACCAGATTACCAGAAGAAACTTTGTATGAATGAACCAAAGTGGAAAATGTAATGATATTGCCAGGAAAGCCCTGCCTAAACCGAATGTAGCATGAATTAACGCAACAGCACAAATAATGGCTTACATCCTATGAGTTGAATTCTATGTAAACAGAGCAAGTTGAGTTGAGCAGAGATATATCATAACTAGAATTGAAATGAGGATCAATTGTGGCAGCGCAGTACTCACGGCTGGGAGTGTGCCGTCTCGTAGCGCTCGAAAGCGTGGCTCAAGTCGTGCTTGTTGTTCATGTAACATTGGGTGCAGAGGTCGTAGTCGAAGCACACCTTGCACTTCCATCGCATTCCCATGATGCCATGCTTCTTGCAGCTGTCACAGATGATGTTGGAGTGACGCACGCCTGGAAAGGTAGGAGAGATGGTTAAACATATGTTCCTATTTTTATGTCTTTCTATTTAATTTCTGTTGCTTAAAACATTTGTCCAAAAACATTTACTTCCAGTACCGCAACTCACATTTGCAAGTAACTAATGGACAAAATACATATCTCACATCTTCACTGACGTTACACATCACACAAACGCAAATATCAAGAGAAGTAAAGGAACTGAGGCACAAACAGCATGACAAAAATACCCTCACGCCCTCAGTTCCTCATCTCTTATCTTCTTTTGCTCCATTAATTGAAGGATCAGCTTCTGAGGCAGAAAAATGTCACTTTAAATAGAGCAAAATGCTAATGAGTTGAGCATAAGTGTTTGTGTCATTCAAGTCCAAAATAGGACTGGATGGGCTGATGACAAGAAATGGCACCATGCTTTCTCAAACTGGGCATTGTGAAGGCTGCATGAGCCACAAACGCCATGACCAACAGACACAAGCAAGTGAGATAAACGCGTGGACACAGCTTTTCAACAGAAACATGACCATTGCAGCTGATAGAGAATTAGGAAAACTTTAACATTAAGGAGGTGGGCTTCTACTACTACTGCACTTGTTTTGTGGTCCTGCCTTCAGAAACTGTCACTTTGACACTATCGATATCTGATAAAGGGTCTATGTTGCTGGCAATATTGAATTACACTGTAACAATATTAAACACACTGTAACAATTGTTGGGGTTCCAATTGAGGATTGGATTGAGTGCTTACCGATTTGAGCATTATCATAAAGCAGCAGGTCATAGGCACCCTGGTAGCCTGTGCGGTAGTTGGTCCGTGTGCCACTGTCCCACTGTACCACCACTGTCTTGTCCGGTGTAGTAGTACTGCCTTGACGACCAATCTCCACCACAGTGCCCACGTGACCCTCACCATCATCCTGGTTTCCCCATTTCCAGTCCAGGCCACGCACCACACGCATGCCCACCTCCATGCTGCCTCTGCTGGGGCCTGGCCTGGGGGCTGAGCGCAAGGGGCGGGGCCTGGCAGCACTGTCACTTCCGCTGCTGCGCCTCTGAGGCTTATGAGGGGAGGGGCCGGCTTGCGCCGATGATATTGCGCGTAGGGATGGCCCCAGGGGTGTTTCCGGGAACAGATCAGGGGAGACTGGAGATAAAAGAAGAAAAAGGTTCAATGAAAAACACATCAACAAATCTCTGGTTAATACTAGTCTAAATTAAGTCGATAAATGGCTGTAACAAAGTAAAAAAATATTAAAGTGTCTTCAATTTAATGCTAAACAAAACAAATAACTGATCCTCACCCAGGGTTCATGTCATATCTTTATATAAGCCTCAGTGGGGTCATTCCACTGCTTTTAAACAAGGTAATCAAACAACCAGTGTGTGTCTTCTTCGTGTCTATCAGTGGCTGCTGAGGGACTTATAAAGCAACATGCCATATGTCTCCATTTCTGAGCACTGTTCTCTCTGCTGGTGGATCTTGTACCGGAGGCCTCACTGCGTGTCATGGCACACTTCTGGAGAGAGCAGCTGGACTCGACTGCAACGCCCTAGTGAGCTAACGCTCCCTGACCTGACACACGCAAACACAAACACATGCATGTGCACGCGCACACACACACAGATATTAACAGACAGGCTGGCCACATCCATACACTAGACCTCAATCATACACACAGCTACTTAAACATAACCCTATACTTGAGGTGTAAACACTTGAGAGATCATAAAGGAAAAGTACATGAATCTGGAATGCTCAGCACTGTACAACTCAGATAACATTTTGTATGAACCTTCCTTGATCTCATAAAAAAAGTCAAAATCTTATCAAAAGGACAGATGTACAAGAACTCACACATTCACACCCATGACTGATGACTGCAGTGTTTGAACAAATTCCTCCAGGCGCTAATACAGGAAGGAAGCAGCATTTACAGCATGTGGAAGCTTGAGTCAGCAATATACTCATAGAAATGAACTTTTGCAGAGGAGCCTGAGCTGCAGGTTTCATCCAATGACGTGCATTAATCAGAAATATACACTAGTACACTTTCATACACTGCACCTCCAACAATACGATTATAAAGAAGGTTTAAAACAAATTGCTACAGCTAATGCTGTCTGTGTATAATCATATAATAAAAGTTGTAGTTGATAGCATTTGTTCAAATGCACTACCAACAGTATTACAGCTTTAAATAACAGAGAGAACAGACTGTACCTACATTGTGTGTTCCTGCTTCTTTCCTTCACAATGATATCTTAGTTGCATCAAGAAGAGGACAAGCAAAATAGAGAAAAAATCTGAAAAAATCTTTTAACTATAAGTTAATACACATAGACACACATCCTAATTGCTGTCACCAATCACTGTAAGGACAGACTCACACTCACAGCTCCTGCTTTGAATTAACACCCCATACAAACAATACCACCCTATGTGTTGCAGTGAAGATGAAGAAAATAGACTTTTTAAAAACCTGCCTTGTATGATTGTACTTTGAAAAGGGCTTTTAAAACCAGTGGCAGCACCTGGGCTACAGCATTAGACTGCATTTCAACATAAAACAAGTGATAACAGAAAACAGCCTGCACCCTAAATCACGTCTCGTGCTTGCCAAAAGGGTCATACATTTGACCACATTCCCTAGCAGATGGTGGTGATAATCCATCATGCTCCTGTTTACAAGAACCACAGATCTAAATTAGAAGGACAATGAAGACACTTAAACCTTTTCTGTGGCTGGAGAAAATCTTGTTAATCATCTATAAATGCTGGTGTAGACTAAAACTTTCAACACACTCCACATTTGTGTGAAAGAAATCCTAAAAGCTTGCTTAACACCCTCCGTTTATCAGGTAGTTTTCACTCAGTATGACAGCTCAGTCAACAACAGGGTGGACAGATGTCTGTAATGTAGCGGAGATTACACTCACATGCTTATCAAGATTACAATTTCATTTAGGTATTAAAGGCATCTGCTTACGCATGAAAGCATATGGGATGTAGGGGATCAGAGGAGGGAAAGCAGGCTGCTTATACTCCATTTTCTGTCCAAAACGACAGCTTAGCCGCTTTCATGCGCTGGAATAATATCCCAGCCAGTCATTTACCATATCAGCGTGCAAACAGAGACGCTGTCACAGACACACAGATCCCAGCATGCTGGGTGTGGATGGATGCAGGAAATGCCAAGTTGATCTAGATCTGCCGAGAACAGAGTAAACAATCATGATGAATTTCTCAGTGACCTTAAAGACGCCACACAGAAACCTGGGGAGGGGAACATTCCGTTCAAACATTACAAGCTACTGAAAAATTTAAAATGCGTGACAAAAACAATTAACAAACTTGCACTCTGGGTTGGGGAACTGTTTTGTAGACATAAAAAGACTCTACCTACCACCTACATTTAAAACCCCATACATACCCACCACCACCTTCTGTGTTGCTCCCACACATTGTGCTCCAGAGAGGATTCAGGCTGAACACATTGATATCATTATTAAATAAACTAGGACTGGTACTGACATGTATACACAACACAGGGGGTGAAGGGGCTGACTCTATACCCAACACACAACAAGCTCCTATCACATATCTACAGGGAAACCACTTCATACTGTCAGCTTTATCCTTTTTCTCTGTACATTATGAAGCAGAATCACTGGCTTTACCGAACACTACTCAGCACCCTTTTAAGTAAAGAACATACAAGATTTACTGTAAAAAAAATAAAAAAAACTTTCTGAAGGTTTTCAAGAGGTTTTAGGAGCTTAGCTTTAAAAATGTTTTCATGCAGAAGTGAAAACAACTCTGTTCTGTAGCCTGACATGTCAATGAGTGCTGCTACTTCAATTTTTGTATTTGCACTTCTATGTTGACTTTAACGTCATCTGCGGCAACGGTCAGGCCAAATTCCAGGGCCTTGCTGACGACATAACTTGTTATGGATGTTTTTATAGTTCACTAACGATCGGGCACACATTAAATGCTGGACTGAAAATCACTCAAATCACCAATAGCGAAGATTAGAAACCATGTGACTTAAAAGACACAAAAGAGCCCTTTAAAAATAAATCCTGGTTATTGTCTAAACTTTAATAGTGGTTTAATACCAATAGCAGTTTACTCATTTAATAATTTGAGACATCTGCCACAGGCTGCAAAGACTAAACAAATTCAACATAAAAGTATATCTGTCTCAAATTTGGTTTAAAATACATTTTGTAATTTGTCACCAGACCCATTCTCTGGTTTATTTTGGATACTACATCAGATCCTGATATATAAACTGAAGGACAGATCAAGTCAAACAATTCCTCTTCTATATCATTTAAAGCAATTATGTACTTTTCAATGTGAAGTTCAAAGTTGACAAACAGGTGGCAATTGAAAAAAGTTTTTTTTTTAAACTGAGAAAGGTTGAAGGCTTCATAAAGATGAGCCATTAAAATGGTATGAAAAAGTTTGTTCTGTTGTTTATAAACACACAAAATGACATTTTATCAACAGCTTTACAAATATGTGGTTATATTCTTATAGTCTCCAGGTGTCTAGTGTCGTCATATTCCAACAATTCAGGTAAACAGCTAAATAAAACAAGTGCAGCTGAAAATGAGCACTGTTCTTCCAGAGGTTGACTGTCCAGCATACATTCATTCTGCTTTTCTGTGTCCGTATGTGTGCGTGCGGAAGGCAGTCATGACCAGGACTCCTGTGTTGCTGAAATGTCGCTACCAATCTGTGACAGAGGGCTGAGAGAGACAGGATTACAGCTCTCTGCCTGCAATAACAGATGGGCTAGATTCCGTCATACACACTGCTGAGGGCCAATCACACAAACAACCAGGGGTATGGCCACAACAATAATACACACCATAACAATATACACAGCACACACTCAAAACAGTTGGTCTGGAAGATTATGCAATGTCAATAAAATATGTTTAGGCCTTTTTTTAGGACTACACCTACATGCAATTGATAATGTAATTGTGATATGATTTTTTTTTAAATTAAGTAAGTTCAAAATCATACCCAGTGTATTACAAAATGATATCACAATTAGAAGTTTAAAATGAGTAAGGCTTAAATATTCTATGCATTCTACCATTTTGTACGACCTGTATATAAACACCACTAACATTTTACTAAATAAGTAGTGACTAAACTTGATGTTATTTTTACAGTATAGATGTGCTGCATACTGAAAAGTGACACTTAATGTGAAAGCTGTTGAATTGTTTCCTTTCCCCATTTGTGCTCTCAGCACGTTTCCTATCGAATATAACCAAAGGGAACTAAGATGTAGCGTGGGAGTAGACAAAACACAGTCAAGGGAAGTGTTGCAGAGGGACCTGGAACCCAAAAGTCCCATATGATGTGTGTCTGTGTGAGTAAGTGAGCGGGCAGTGGTGATTTCAAATTCTACAGGTGCACGACTGAAACAATAGTCGGTTTGAGGTGACCACATAACATGTTTAAGAATCAATACAACAATGGAACACATGTCCCAAGGCCAGTGTTATATAAGACTGAGGAGCAAAGGCCAGGGACCAAACTACCTACAGACTTGGATGATTTCACTGAGGTCGGGACAAACACATCGACCGTGAAGCAGATAAGCATATTCACAGCTCTTTATCAAACCTACAGCCAGACCCAGTTCAGCACTGTAATAATTGTCACTGTGCAGTTTCAAAATGGAAAATGAGTCAAGAGTATTATTATTGGCAGAACCAGTGCCAGTAGACATGTGCTAGTGCCTGAGGCCTACTTGGGGCTGTGTGTCCTGTGACACGTGGTCTAACTGGATTGTATCTTCACTCTAATGTCTAATAAGAATAGGCTGCTTGCCTGTGTTATTTTTTTTCTTTTTTCATCATGCAGTAGCCACTGGGCTCTAAATGCTTAGCAAAGTGTAATCTAAACATAGGCTTTTGTGACTTTAGCCTCATCGGCCTTAATATCAGCCTGCTGCAACTGGTTCATGTCAGAAACATCTGGTGGCCGAGGGGGCTTTCAGGAAAATCAATAAGGACCCTGAGTAAATAACACATTTACAAAGATTTCTTCAGAGTGAGCGACTGGACTCAAATAGTACAGTTCAGGCTTTTGCATGTTCTGCCTTTCTTTTCTCA